TCCCCCCCCGCAGCACAGGGAAACCCCCTCACGCCTCCTCTCCCAGGGCCGACCCCTCCCTCCCGCAGTGCAGGGGAAGCCAGCGCGTGCCTCCCCCGGGGCCAACTCCCCACACTCCTCCAGGGCCAATTCACCCCTCCTGCGGCACAGGGAAGCCTCCTTCTGGGGCCAATCTCAGGAGAGGGAAGTGGCAGGGAATTTGGTTCCCCATTTAACTTGGCGCCCTAGGCAGCTGCAGAGTTTGCCTGTAGGCACAGGCCGCCCCTTGGCAGAGGGATAAGTCGCTCTTTTTGTGATGGACCTGATGAGATTGGGCCTGGTTTTCACATGGGCTGAGCATCTGCAATGACCATTCAGCATCACTCTACCTCAGCCTGTTAGTCTCACCCAGGACATTATGAAGACTGGGAAGCAGAGAGAAATCCAAACCCCTCCCTACTGAGACAGACCCCCCTATCCCTCCCCCCATGCTTTATGAAATCAACTCATGGACATAAATTTATGGAACTCAAAGGTGCTTTGAGCAAATTATTTTGTGTAACCCATCTATCTTCATGTCATGATCTGCTGGTTCTATTGATCTTTCTTTGATGCATGCATCACTTGGGTGTGTAAAATTAGACATCTGGAGTGCGGAATACTTGGTGGGTTTCAAATGTGTGAATGAGAGACATGGAGGTTGTTACCTTTTAAAGTCTTGATGAGCAACTGTTAAATTATCTCTCTTGTCCTTCAGTCTGAGCAGTGGTTGGTAGGGAGGGGCCACAGTTCTTTAACAAAAAGAATAGGAAAGCAGGGGCCTTGGTCTTCTGGCTGGGCTGCACCTGAAGGAAGAAGCCGAATACCCTAGGGTGGGGGAAGACAGCCCTGGCTTGGAGGGGCAGCTGGAAAACAGGTTTGAGGGCGAGTTTGAGTACGTTTTTCCTGAGATGTCAGAGTAGAATTAGCCAAGCGTTTTTGTTTCTGCTGATTTGTAACCTACTTTGCTCTACTTGTTCTCACTTATTACCACTTAAATCCTACTGCTTGTATGTAATAAAATCATTTTTATTTTCTGTCAAACCCAGTGTAAATAATTGTTACCTGGGGGGAGGGAGAGGGGGGCAACCAGTGTACACATTCCCCCTTTCATTGTTAAAGGTGCCTTACCTAATTCTTTTGGGTCTGATCCTATTCGGGGGTGGTATCCCAGGAAGCTGGGCCCTAAATTGCCCTCTCCTTGGACCTGAAGAGGTTCAGTGTCTGTACTGCTTCTCCGTGGGGCAGGGATCTCAGCTCGGGGCCTTGGCTGGGGGAGACCAGTGGAGCTGGCCCAACAAGACTGGGCAGTGAGGTGGCCCCAGCCATGTCAGCACCCCGGGAAGCACCCCTGAGGGGTCATCTATGACTGCCCCCCATCACACCTACCTTCCATGATCCCCTGTGGTGACAGGCCGTGCTCGCCTGCCCGTCATGCTACAGAGCCTGGTCTTGTCCAAAGGGATGGAGCTAAACTGTGTCCTGAAGCCATACAGCAGCCGTGCGTTGGGCTCGCTCCCAGCTAGTTGCCCAAGAATAAACGATGTTATAACAGGAGTGGGGGCGGAGTCCTCTTCCGCCGTGGCACTGTTCCTAGAAGGGGCAGGTTTCTCTGCACAGACAAGCTTGCCGGGGGGTTGGTTGGTTTGGTTTTTTGCTTCTCACTTGTGCGTGGGCCCCGACTGACTGGTTTTTCTGAAAAAAAAAAAACTTAAAAAACAATAAATAGTCTGGTAGCACTTTAAAGACTAACAAAACGTAGATGGGATCATGAGCTTTCGTGGGCCCAACCTACTTCTTCGGATGACTGAAGTGTTAGAAGTTCAGAACCAAGAATAAATAAGGAAAGGAAGAGGGGTAGGGAAGGACATTGGGTAGATAAGTTTCAAAGGGATAGCCAAGCCAGTCTGTAACAGGAAAAACTTAAAAAACAACAGTCTATTAGCACCTTAAAGACTAAATAGTTACAAGAGGCTGATAAGAACCATTTCTTTGCACTAGGAAAGGAAGAGTACTAACACCAGATTCTACACAGACATCAAGAACAACTGGCACCTGCATCGGTTGGTTGGTTGATAATGTGCGAGCCATCGGATATTGTGATTTAGACCATTTGCATAAGAGTTAAACTTGAGAATGAAGTGGAGTTTCAATCCTTCTCTGTGTATTTGGCTTGTGGAATTGGTCTGAAACAAAACAGCAACTTGTAGATCCCTTAATGAGTGTCCAGAGAGGCTAAAGCAGGGATTCTTAACCTTTTTACCTTCACATCTCCCCTGAAAGTGAACTTCATGTTCACACACCCCGGGAGCCATTTTGTGCACAGCCCCGCCCCCTCACCCGACAAGAAGCTAAGGGGCGTGGCTAGGACTATAAGAACTCTGCCAAGGAGCTCAGTCAGGGCCTAGCCTCTGAAGGAGACAGAGACCTGTCCAGAGCTCCTGGCTGACGAGTCAGACCTGGCCCGGGCCTCCCACAGCCACCTTCCCTCGGGCCAGCAAAGGCTTCCCTGTGATAAATTTTCTGGGAGGCACCTCACACTTCCCCTGGGGAAGCACACCTCACTGGTTAAGAACCCCTGGGTTAAAGTGTTTCCCAGCAGGTTTTTGTATGTTCCCTTTTCGGTTATCTGAGTTGTGTCCGTTAATTCTTTCCCATAGGGACTGTCCAGTTTGTCCAATATCTATTGCAGTGGGGCATTGCTGGCATTGGATGGCATAGATCACATTACTGGATGGGCAGTTAAATGAGCCTCTGATTTTTCTGAATCAGTGGCCCGCAACCCAAAAAAAGATTCCCCACCCCTAAGCTAGAACAGGGAGGTCTTGGGGGGTGGCATTAATGCCCCTTGAATTTGTCACGTGGTTATTTTACACTAAACTACCACCCTGTGTCCACAGAGCCCCGAAGGAAGCTCTCGCAGGTGGACACTAAGGTCTCCCTGGGTAGCCCCACTCTCTGTGTCTGACACTTAGCAAGCCTCATTGAAGAGAAAGGGTGTGATCTCTCAGTAGGAGGTTCCATGCAGTTAAATACAGTATTAAATTACTGATTTCTGCAGTTCCCTTGCTGACGGAGGTGGCGGAGCAGCAAACAAAAGTGCTTGAAACTAGTTTGCTGAACAGGAGAGAACCCTGAGTGTGGGGTTAGCTGGCAAGGCGGAGACTTTACACCGTGTAGCAAGGTAAGCGTCTTTTTTAATCCTTTTAATTTCATTTCTAAGTGTTTCATGAGCACGCTTGCTGGGTGCCAGAAGAAAGCTCAGTGAATTGCCTGTCAGCTGCATTGAAATGGGGCTAGATCCTCAGCCCATGTCAACCAGGACAGCTCCAGTTATACAACCAAAGGGTCTGGACTGAGATTTTCATGTGAATGCAAACTTTCGTTCTCCGATTTCTGAGAATGTGGCAGAGCTACTTCTCAGCAACTCTGCACTGAGGAAGAATATGACATTCCATTCTTTGTTGCCACAGAACTGCTTTTCCTTTCATGCAACACCTAATTGACCGGTTTGTTTGTTTAACACTCCTCGTTTGACTTTCTGCGGGATTGCTTTAAAGTTGAATTTTTAGTCCCGCTGATCCACTGGAGGTGGAGGGGAAGTGATCGGGGGTCCTGAATGGAATCAATCAATCGAGAGGCTAAAAGTCTGATTCCAACGCAGTTTGCTGCTTCAAAGCAAGTGAAGCCTCGGTGGTATATAATGTGTTTGCGCTGGTTACCTCCCGAGTTCACCTTGTGCAAGTGAAGCCTCGGTGGTATATAATGTGTTTGCGCTGGTTACTTCCCAAGTTCGCCTTGTTTGAGAGCCAAATGGCACTCAGGAGAATTGGTTTGTAATGGAGTTTCACTTTAGGCTTATTTGCTGGTATTTTTCTTAGGCACGTCTCCTAGGGACATGAAAAAGAGGAAGTGAAGGAGATACCATACACGTTAGCTTCCATGGGAGAGTGGCATTCATTAAGGAATATACTGGCAAAAGATGCAAGCAAGTCCTACGGTAGCTGAAGCAAACGTGCCTTTCCATGACTTGCTGCAGGCACTGGGCAAAGCTAGGTGTGGCTCAGGCATTTCAAGGGAGGTGGCAGGAGACGGCTCCTAGGAGCAGCCTCCTTCCTAGTGTTCATTGGGGGGTTTTCAAGGCCTTCTCCTGTGGGAGCCACTGCAGGGTGGATGCTTCTTGTTTTCAAAGACCATGAGCTGCACCAGAGAGCCCAATCCAGCTGGAGAAATCATTGACGGTGTTTCCATGGCCTGCTGCTGGCAGCAGGCAAAAGGCAGGTGCGCTTGTTTTGACTGAACAAACAAGCTGCCTCTCTTCCCCTCCCTGCCCCTTCCTCCCTCCAGCACTGACGTCGGTCTCATGACATTATTTGCTAAGGAGGACTTTGTGGCAACTGTTGCTAAGGCTTCCCAAATGGGAACGGTGGCCTCATGCCATGCTTTGAGGCAAAGCCACTGTGTTTGCTTTGAGACGCACACCTGAGGCGCAAAGAAAGCCGCACACCAGCCAGGGTACCCATGTACGCACCTCTCCCCCACCCTCAGCCACAGAAGAACACATACCTCACACTCCCACCCTCCCAGGGGGTGGGGTTAATGGCCTTGAGGAAAAACACGCCAGCGATTTTTCACGGCTCAGAGCCACTTCTTGTTTCACTAATGTCATTGCTTCCCTGGCCTGGATGTGACTGTTCACGCCAAGTTCCTTCCAAACAACTTCCCTTCCTGAGATTTGTGCCTTGCATTATCCTAAGGCTGCTCTTGCTCTTGTTCTCCTGGTTCAGCACTTGGCCACGCTTCTCTGTTGCTCTCTGCCTACCTCAGAGAGACTTGATCTAGAGCAGTGATCCTCAACACGGTGCCCATGGGTGCCATTTCTGTGCGCCCACTGAGTGATCGGGGCCAGCCCCACCCTGGTGCATGGTGCGGGGTGGCGCCAGCCCTCGGGTGTGTGGCGCGGGGGGGCGCCGGCCCCAGCACATGAGTGGCCCTGCCCCCGGGTGCCCGGCAGCCCCAAAAGGATGGGGACCACTGATCTAGAGGATGCTCAATTGTATCCTTGAGGGCCAGCCATCCTGGGCCTGCGGTGTGGAATTTGATGTTCAGTGTTTCAGACCCACCCCCAACCAAAAAACCGCTCCTTTGGTTTGTCATGAGCATGAAGTCTAGGCCTCTGGCTAGCTTGTATTTAAAGCAGCTCTTATGAGAACAACTAGACATGATAGAACACATCCTGCCCTAGAAGCTGGATTCTTCTTTCGGGAAGCTTTGTTAATGTAATTCGCACACCACACTTAGGCCTTGTCTTCACACCACAGAAGATCGAAGCTGCTGCAATTAATCTTCTGGAGTTTGATTTAGCGAGTCTAGTTAAGACTCGCTAAATCAAACTCAGAGGTCACCACCAGCGGCCAGTGCTCCTGCTCTTGCCAGGAGTAAGAGAAGCCTACGGGAGCATTTGCTGCCATAGGCCTCCCACTGTGGGAATGGCAGGGAAACTTGAATCAAGGAATGTTGACTCCAGCTATGTATGCTAAGTAGCTGGAGTTGTGTACTGTAAGCCAAGTTTCCGGGTCTTATGTAGACCTGGCCTTAGAGATGAATGGGTCTCTTCTACAGCTCTAGATAAGAGTCACCTGGTTCAGGCTCATGCATTTAGCTTCAGGGGTGGTTCGAGCCTGCCCAAACTGGGGTTTGTGGGTGTTACATTTTGGGGGAGCTCATCTGAGTCAGTGTCCTGCGCAAGCACATCTGGAGTGATTCACTAAGTTGGGAGAACAAATGGGTTGATATTTTGAGGAAATTGCTATTAGTACAACAGGTTTGTTGGACCCAGGCTCAGCAGCCCGTACCTTGGGGTCTGCGACTTCAGCACATGACTGGGCAAAAGCACTACAGCAAGCACTGGAAAAGGTTGTGTTCTCTCATGCTAGGTCAAACTCCAGCAGAAGCTGAAGTTATTCACTGGGGGTCCCATCTCAATACCTGGGGAAAGGAGTTTGAACCCTGGTTAGAACATACATTAGCTAGACGTTTGAGGGACTATGTGATGTAAAGGTTTCATCAGCATGTAAATAAAATACATACAGGCATATATAGACACGCATGTATCAACATTAAAATTCAGTCTTTGCTATGCAGTGGAATTGGAGATAGAAGAACCCAGGGCTATGTCTACACTGGCACCCTTTTCCGGAAATGCTTAAAACAGAACAGTTTTCCGTTATAAGTATTTCCGGAAAAAGTGCGTCTACATTGGAAGGATGCTTTTCCGGAAAAGCACTTTTTCCGGAAAAGCGTCTGTGGCCAATGTAGACACGCTTTTCCAGAAAAAAGCCCCAATCGTCATTTTCGCAATCGGGGCTTTTTTGAGGAAAAGACTGCTGTGCTGTCTACACTGGCCCTTTTCTGGAACAGTTTTTCTGGAAAAGGACTTTTGCCCGAACGGGAGCAGCATAGTTTTTCTGGAAAAACACTGACAATTTTGCAGTAGATCGTCATTGCTTTTCTGGAAAAGCAAGCGGCCAGTGTAGACAGCTGGCAAGTTATTCCGGAAAAGCGGCTGCTTTTCTGGAATAAGTGGCCCAGTGTAGACACAGCCCAGGTGTGTAGTGCTATCTGTTGGTGGAGGCTGACTTTTTTTTTCCATCTTTTTTCATTTCCTCTCCTGAATTCTTAAAGTGTGCCTCAGTCTTCAGGGGAACAGCTGCCATGTTCAGCCCCAGAGGTGGCTGCATTCCAGTGGCTGGTGAAATACTAGTACCTGTGATGAATTATGTGCTCCTCCTTCAGCCAAAAGGCTCTGTGGAAGGTTTGGCACGTGGCCTTTAGGGTTCTTTGACATCCTTCAGGGTGAGACCCCTCAGACATGTTGTGAATTATTGTTTGTTCCAATCACCTGTAGAGAGTCTTTTCTGGTCTCTGTATTTGTTTGCTCTTGTGCCATTGGGACTGTCAAAGGGCTGAGAATCAGTCCAAGCAGGAGGGGACTGGATATTACTCTGCATCGCTCATGGGTTCTGGCCCCGCCTATGCACAGACAGGAGCCTTTTGGGTAGAGTCGTTTGTTTGGACACAATACTGGTCTGCTCAGCCCTCAAGCAGAAACAAAAGGGCCCGAACCTGTAAAGCTGTATTGGGTGGGAGGTTGTTTGACACCAGAGCCTTTCTGGGCTAGGCTGGGCAGTGGGCTGAGCCCGGGGAATGAAGCAATGCATAAACTGCCCCCCAGCCCCAAGGAGAGCAATGTGTCTGGAGTGCCGTGACACGACTGCTTCAGGGAGGACCTGTTCCTTCCCTGCCCCCTTCACTCTGGGCGGAGCATCACTTTCCCCGCCCCTTTGTGAGGGTTAATTTATTCCACCATCCTTCTGCTCACTAGGGATGTTAGTTAACGGTTAAAATGTTAACTGGCTAAACGCTGGGTTTGAACCGTTAACCCTGGAGCAGCCACCTCCCCCGCTTGCAGCATGACGGCCTGCAGTTGGGGGAGGGGCTGCTCTGGGCCCAGCCCCACCCCTGACCCGCCACGACCATGGGCGGTGGAAGCTGCTCCAGCCATCGGGTCTGTTCCAGCACAATCCCTGTACCTGGCATGGCCTCAGGGAGTAGGGACTGTCCTGGCCCTGCTGCAGCTATGGGCAGGGTCCAGCCAGACAGACCAGTTAACCGTCTAACTGGCAAGCAGGCCAGTAAGCCACCTGCTTACCAGGTAACGTCGCATCTTTTGGCCAAAAACAATCTCCAGCCACGATCTGCTCCTGCGATGCCACCAGGAGGACATGACCACTCTCCTTATTAGAGAAGATGCTGGAGATGGATAGGGCCGGTGATGAGAAGGGAGGCAGACGCCATTGTAAAGATAGCACTTCACTGGACGCCTGAAGGGCGACGGAAACGGGGGAGGCCCAAGACAACATGGCGGCGTACTGTTGAGGCAGACATGAAGAGAATGAACTACAACTGGGACACACTGGAGAAAATGGCCAAAGACGGACAAAAATGGAGAACCTTCGTTGCTGCCCTACACGCCGCTGGGCGTAATAGGCGTTAACTAACTTACCGGGTAACTGGTTAACTGGTTTATGTAGTACATCCCTAGTGCCCACCCACCCAACTCCACTGGCTAGGACTGGGCACCCAACTCCACTGGCTGCCCAGGCTCCTGGAAGAGCAGGAGAG